AGGAGCTGGAGGTGCAGAGAGAGGTGGGAAGAGTTTCCTCTGAGCCCTAAATTCAGGAGGTGCCTTGGATCCTCCAAGGGGAAGTGGAGGGGCAGCTCTGCTGACCAGAGACAGGACTCAGGGAACAGCTGGAGCTGGGCCAGGGGAGGTTTAGGTTGGATCTCAGGAAAAGGTTCTTCCCCCAGAGGGTGGTTGGCACTGACCAGGCTGCCCAGGGCAGTGGGCACTCACCTGTGCCCATCCCAGAATGCACACAAGGTGATCACCAGTTCTAGCCTGTGTTCCTGCCTGATCTCAGGGTGGTGGTGAGGTGGGGCTGGATTTAGATTGGATATTAAGAAGAAACCCTTCCCTGGGAGGGTAGGCAGGCCCTGGCACAGGTTTGCCCAGAGAAGCTGTGGCTGCCCCATCCCTGGGAGTGTCCAAGGCCAGGTTGGAGCAACCTGGCACAGTGGAAGGTGTCCCTGCCTGTGGCAGGGGGTGGAACAAGATGATTTTTACAATCCCACCTGACCCAACCCATCGTGTGGTCCATGATTGTAACTCCCCTGTCATTTTAAGTCAAATTGAGGTAGCAGAGGTGGGAGGGGGCAGCTGCAGGACTGCCCAGGGCACAGCCTGTGTCTGGGAGGCTGCAGGACAGAGCAGAGGATTCTCGTGGTCCCTTCCATGGTCCCAGGACCAACCATTCTGTCTTTAGTGCAGCCAGAGCTGAGCAGGGGGGGATTTTCAGCCAGAAGCCTCCCCAGGCTGTTGGCACTCCCTCCACACCTCCTGGAGCTCTGAAGGTCAGGGAGAGGAGGGCAGCTGGCACAGGAGGGTGTGGGCATTCCCCTGGTGATCCTGTACATTCCACCACCAATCTCAGGAGATGATCTTTGCCGCTCTCTGTGGGTTTTTAATCACACCACTGACCCAGCCAGCATTTCCATGCAGGTTTTTTTTCCCTTTAACAGTTACTCAGCTTCAGGATTGAGCAGATCTTTCCTTCCTAACCTTTCCTTCTTAACCTTTTCTTCTTAATCTTTTCCCTGCTGCCTCAAGGGCTTGGTGCTGTTCACTGATGGGCTCAGGAGACATGAGGAATCCTTTGCTCTCAGGAACCCTCAGAACTAGAGGGGATATTTTCTCAGGGCAAGCAAAGTTCGTGACAAAACTCCTCTGGAAACAGAGGGATGGAGGGTGGGAAAGGTGCTGGTTTAATGGCTTGGGTTTAGACCCAGCTTTGCCAACAGGCATGAAAATGTGAGTGGTGCTGCTTTTGGGCACTCCAAACCTCCCCCAGCGTGTTGGGACTGACATCTTCCGGCATCCAGCTCTTCCAGGAAGGGATTATTCCCAGCGATGGGAATTTGTGGGCTCTGTGGAGAGGCAAATCTAAACTCTTTCTTTCTGGCAGGAGGCAACAACCTGTGCCAGGGCATCGAGGACCACGACTGCAAATGCCCCCAGGGCCACAGCTGTGGGGATAACACCTGCCTGTACTGCAGGAAGCTGCCAGAGTGTGCTGAGGGCCAGGAGCTCACCAGGATTGGTAACTAAACCAACACCAAACTCACTCCAAGAGTCTGCCCAAGCCTTGCAATGTCACTGCCCTGCCCACTTCCTTATGTAGAATATATAGATAATGTGCTAGAATATATATCTAATATGCTAGAATATATATATAT